TTATTATTATTATTATTACTTTTTTTTTTTGAATTTCTACACGTACCAATATTTTTAATCACTTTTCGTCAGAATATAGAGTATCTGTTCGAAAAAAAGTCTCAGATATGATATGCAGAACAAATTAAACTTTCATTTTGATCTGCTAAAACACTTTGTTCTCAATAATTCAAGGGTATCTTTCAACCACTAACTAAAGTTTAGTTTGCTGCTTTTTCCACTAAGTCTTCTGCTTTTACAAAATTATTGAAATTCTAGTGACTTTTTTTCCATATTTTTGCAAACAATTAGTAATAAAGACTTAATTGTTGGTTATTTTGAAATATATGACTGGGAATCTTCAATTTCTAAGATATTGCCAAACTTTAATACACTTCGTTTAATTGATTTTGGAGGATAGCTCAGAAACATAATGTTCGAAATTTTTAACCGGTGCTGCTGATTAATGGCAAAAACCTGTTTTCTTTAATGAAAAAAAAAAATTCTCCTTTTTTTTTTCTCTGAATAGTAAAACCAATTAATAAATAAAGATGATCCGCTCAGAAGTTACGATTAATGGTTCCTTCAGTAATTAGATTCTAAGGTAGGTAATGGAAACTTACGAAAAAGATGTCTAAAGACTTTGAAAAGAGGTCGTAGCATTATTTTTTTGCATTTGGTAATTCAGCATTTATTATTGTCATTTCCTATTGATGCCGGTTTTTCAAAATTAATCATAAATATCCTTAAGAAGCTCATTTTTTTCACTTAGTCATGTTCTTGATTGCGGAACGAATATTCATTAATAAACAGTTATTAATTTACTGTAATTAGCAGTTTTTCTTTTATAAAAAAATTCTAGTTTTCCTACGATATTTAAGCTCTGTCTATTTTTTCCTTTCTTTCTTCTTTTTTTTTCTTCAGTCTTTATAGTAAGATTGTTTATAAAATAAATTGTCATTGTTTCTTCAAACTTCCAAATACATTAATTTTTTTTACCTTACACTTGCTCTTTTCAGAAACTAACTAGTTTCAGCAGCTTATTTACAAACCAAAATTTTCAGTTGGCCGCTGGCAATAATTTGTAAATGGCAGCCGAACAGACGAGAAAAACTGCTTGAATATGTACTAATTTTCATTTACTTGCAAGCTTCTTCATTTACTTGCAAGCTTCTATCTTACAGAACTTAGTACCGGGTAATTTTTTAAACTTTCTGCTAATTTATTTCAAAATATAATGAGGAATAAAAGAAAAAAAATTCCATTTTTATACGAATCATCATTGTTTTCGTTGTGCCGAAATCTAATCGAAACAATTATATTTGGCACCCCAAAACAGCATTTATTTTTCAGCAAATTATGAAAAGAGCGTACTGCCACTTGCTCATCTATCGAAAACTGGAGCACATCTAACGTACGGTGATGTCCGCAATTTGGCTTCTTCTGACTGTCTTACACGAAACTGTTTACTTCACAGGATCTACCGTACAGGAATTTACCGCTGAAAATGCTGAAATAATTTGTGAGAGTACTACAGTATGTAATGTGATAGAAATAGCCAAGACAGGAGTAGTTTGGAAAGAAAACTGAATTTTCTTTTTTTTTTTTTTTTTTTTTTTTATTGGGGACACTGCAAGCAAATAGGCTGAATATTCTTCAGCATTCTCTTCAGTAGTTTTCGGTTTTTACACGTTAATCAAAATAAGTAAATTTATAAAATTTTGCTAAGTTGTTGAAGATTACCTCTATTAACACAGTAATTTTGAATTATCATCAATTTTGATAACTGTTTCCGTTTCTTGATACTTCAGCTGTCAGTGTGAAATGCTCACCAGAGGGTATAACGGCAAACATTGACTTTGATAAGCCCTTCAGAGGAAAAATATATTCTGTAGATTATTCGACAATACATGAATGTATCTATCATAACACAGTGGAAATGCAGTCAATCTTATTTCGAATTCCGATTCGTCACTGTGGCACCAAAATCACCAGGAACTCTCAAAATGTCCTATTTTTAATTCCACAGTAGTATTTTTTTTGGGATACAACTTGTTAAATCAAACATTTTTTACTTTCAAACTTCTAATAAACTACATTTTAAGTTTAGCAAACCCTATAGACGACAATCTTTATATTAATTTTAAAGAAATTTAGAGCTGTTCAGAACGATTATTCATCTACGATTTATAAACAGTAATTTTTGAACAAAATGTTTACTTTAAACAATTAATTTTTTAATTTAGATCATCGACTCAATAGAAAATAAAATATATGTACAAATGGATAAAGAAACGCGAAGTGTTTGCGACCGTCAGTACAGTCTCATGTGTCAATTAAGACCGGGATCTGATTTTGAGACCGGCAGTTACATACCTCGTTCATATGAAGGCATTAGTACTGGAACCGACCGAAAAAGAGTAAAAAATTCAATTCATTTATTTAATTTCCAAAGAAAAATAAATTCTTATTAAGCTAAGGGTAAACTGCAGAGTCTTAAAAACAGTTTTATACGTATCACTGCTGAACTAAAAGTAAAGTATATGGCGGTTCATCCCTACCAAACCCTTTTTTCTGTCTACTGTTTAAGATTCTTTCCCAACCTTGTCAATAATTTCTCATTATTCTCCTTTTGAGCCAAGTAATGGTAAAGAACATTCATTCCCGTTGCAGTGAAATCATGATACAGAAATGGAAAATAATTTTGGAAAAAAGAATAAAATAAATGACTCAGACAGTTTCCCAGAAAGGTATCTTCATTGAACGGTAGAATTTTAGAGTGGTGGTTCTTGTTACAAACTAAACACTTTTTTTTTACTCCTCCATTTCTGTTGCTTGCCGTCCGTTAAAAGAAAAGCCCAGCCGTTATAAGACTAAAGGCCACTTCCTTAGTAGACTACCCTTTGGACCTCTTAAAGCAACACTTAGTTAAAACGTAAAGAATACTTCAAAATGTTGCGGAATGGAGGC